GTTTACGCCGGTGGAAAATCAAACCATATCTCTTCATCACGATGTTGTATAGTATCTGGTAGATCGCTAGTCATGGTTTGAAGAAACAGGTGTGTCAACATCGCATCTCCACCGGGATGTTGTACTTTCAGTCATGGCCCGAAGCAAGTATCCTCAAACATTTTTCTTTATACATGTGAAAGCTTCGACGCAATTGTTTTGGCCAGGCTGACTTTATTTCTTAAGGTCAATTGAGCCGAATAAAAGTTCTACAAAAACAATAAACATACTAAGTTAGATATACCAAAAACTACACTGTGAAGATATACCAAAAACAATAATAAACATAAAGAGTAGTAGTTTATTCTTCAAACTTAAATTTGCAACACTGTGAATTTCTTATTTGTCTTTGTTTTTTGGTTGAAGTAATGCAATTCATTCAAGTTTCAATTTGCAGAAGAATAATAGTTTCTGAAAATGAAAATCGCAACACGAAAATGACAATCGCAACGCGAATTTGACTATCGCAACGAGAGAATAAAATCGCGTTGCGATTTTGTCGTTGCGATTTTCATTTCGCGTTGCGATTCTCGGTTGATTTAATAAGCAATCTAAGTGAAATGGTTAATCTATTATTGAAATTACCAGTAAACTTATCATCAATTTCAATATGAAAAACCTAATAATAATGCAAAAATTTCAAAAAGAAAATAATTAAAAAAAACTAACCCTCGGTGGTTGATTTGGTTGATTTTTTATTTCTGATTGTGAGGGTGGCTCTGAGAGATGGAGATAGACGGATTTCGCCGGAGATGGGGACGGATTTCGTCGGAGATGGGTGAGAGAGTGAGAGATGGAGATGGGACTGAGTTGTGATTTTAGGTTTTAGGTTATGAGTTGCGATTACGGGATATACTGTGGACGGTTCAGTGTTCCAATATATTAATATTCGTGTTTGGAATTTGAAAATAAAATACGCTTTGCGATACTAATTGCGCTTTGAAAATCGCATTGCGATTATGTATTATCTCGTTGCAAAAGTCAGTATTGCATTGCGAAAGTCAGTATTGCGTTGCGAAATTAAGTATCGCGTTGCGAAAGTCAGTATCGCGTTGCGATTTTGTATTATCGCGTTGCGATAGTCAGTATCACGTTGCGATTTTCCAAATTCGCATTGCGATTTACTTATTCGCATTGCGAATTGGGAAAATCGCAACGCGAAATTGGAAAATCGCATTGCGATAGTCATAATCACGTTGCGAATCTGGAAACTGATTTACGATAATGGAGATCGCGTTGCGAATTAGCGATCGCATTGCGATTTTGTTGGTCATTTTGGAAAATTCGAAAAAAATTGGTTAAAATCGTATATTATATAGGATTTTTGGTCACTAAGGTTATTTTCTCTTTTATCTATTTGCTTCAAAATTATATAAATATATATATATATGGTTAATTTACTTACGCATAGTATAAAACTTTTAATTTTATTTTTTTAGGATTGTTAGACTAGTGAAAGTTGAGATTATTTCATTATTATTTTTAATATGAATATCTTCTCATTTCCTATTGATAATCTCAGTCGTCTATTTTCATTCATAAAACAATTCTAAAAAGGTATAAAACTAAAAAGTTTCAAACGATTTGAACGGATTATGTCTCATATATATATATATATATATATTTGGGTCGAGTGCGGGTTTTAACCTCAAAATCAGGTTGGATAAAACCCTCCTAAACCTAAATTAGATCGAGTGCAAGTGGAGATGTTTAATTTTCGAGTCGAGTTTAGGTGTATAAAAAACACAACCCAACTAGACTCATTGCTAGGTACACACCTATCATTGTCAATCTAAATTGTCAAATTACATTATTAGTCCTTTCACTAAAAGCTAAAGAATAAATTAATCTCACTACACAATTTTATCTATTTGCTTCAAAATTATATAAATATATATATATATGGTTAATCTACTTACGCATAGTATAAAACTTTTAGTTTTATTTTTTTAGGATTGTTAGACTAGTGAAAGTAGACGGTTGAGATTATCTCATTATTATTTTTAATATGAATATCTTCTCATTTCCTATTGATAATCGCAGTCGTCTATTTTCATTCATAAAACAATTCTAAAAATGTGTAAAACTAAAAAGTTTCAAACGATTTGAACGGATCATGTCTCTTATATATATATATATATATATATATATATATATATATATATATATATATATATATATATATATATATAATTTTGTATGTGCTTGACGGAGAATGATCACTTCCCTACAAAATTGGAGGAGTAAAGTTCCAGAAATCAGCTTTCTATTGAAGGAAACTGATCTATCAGTGAACAAGTCCAGTAATAAAATGTTAATTTTATGATCAAAGATTCAAAGAGGACTCCAAAAAACACTTTACATGTAAAAGGTGTCTTTGTAATCATATTGAAAGATGGAGCTATAAGCCGGCATTAAAATGCTTAAATTAGTTTATGATGCAATTTAATTCTAATATTTGAGATTTCTTTATATTACAGTTTGACTGAAACTACAAGAATCTGGCAGATTCTTAAAACAAATGAATCAAAAACGCAGAAGCATTTAACAGTTTTCAACAGTGTTGACCCACATGATAGAAAATGTTTGATTCTGTTTGAAACATAAAACTCAAGGATGTTCCAACATTTAGTATCAGACAAACAATGCATTACTAAATTGGTTCCAACATAAAACAATACATTTAGTATCTAGATTCTCCATTTCTTTCAATGGGAGTCTTGTGGGATTCTTTAAAGGCGCAAGGGGTGTTAGACAAGGGGACCCCTATGCACTCTCTTGTTTGTTCTAATTATGAATATTCTATCGAGAATGCTTGATGTGGCTGCAGGGAAGGGGATCTTTGGATTTCATACTTGTTGCAAGAAAGTTGGGCTAACCCACTTATGTTTATTTTTGGGGGGGGGGGAAATTACACTATTTTTAGTCTCAGGCTGAATTACACTATTTTCAATTGGAAGTTATCAGGGAGTTATTTAGTTTTTCATATTGAAAAATTGTTTGTCCGATATTTTGACGTGCCTCTTATTACGGGAAAGTTCACTGAGAAGGATTGTTATCCTCTTATCAATAAGATAAAGGACAAGTTTGGACTTTGAGAGAGTAGACATCTTAGTTATGCTGGCAGGATTCAATTGATTAGATCGGTTCTGTTCGGTATAACAAATTATTGGTGTAGGCATGTAATCAATGTTTTGAAAATCGGACCGGATTAGTCGGTTCAATCGGGAATCGTTGTCTAGTCCGGTTCAATTTACACCGGTTGAACCGCTACTAGTGAACTGCCGGAACCGCTGAATCAGAAAAAACCGGACCGGCTGAAAACCAGAAAAAACCGGAAAAAACAGCTAATTTTGTTTTTTTTAAAAAAAAAAAATTAAATCAAACGACGTCGTTTCTTAGTCGAACTCGAGTATTGCTGAGCTCGACTCGAACTTGAAAAACTTTAAAAGTAAGTTCAACTCGACTCAAACTCACGAGCTAAAAATTATCAAATTCAACTCGAACTCGAAATATATTATTGAAACTTGAACTCGAAAAGGTTTAAACTAAAAAAAAAAATTAGAAGCTCGATTGAAGCCTAAAATTCGAGCTTGATTGAAGTGAAAGAATAGTTCACTCGATGCTCACCAAAAAACTAAATGATTTTGAGTGCCAAATTACCTCTATTATTTATAGAAGTTAGTTTAGATGCTCTTCTATGTTTCTTAGTCATGTGGGATTGTTTTGTTATCATATTTTCTCTTTAGACTTTTGGGATGCTCTTCTATGTTTCTTAGTCATGTGGGATTGTTTTTTTAAAAAAAAATTAAACCAAACAATATCATTTTGTTATAATTTTTAGCCCCAAATTTATTTTTTAATTATAGTTATATAATTATATTTATTATTTAATATGTTTTACCTTAAATATTATGTTGTAGTTAATTTGAATCATTTTGTTTCACTTGGTTTTATGGTTTTTAACTTATATATGTTATGATTTGTTTTGAATATGACTTGTGATATAAAAAATTATTTTTTATTAAATATTTTTTGATATTTTTATTTAATTTTTTAAATAATTATGACGTCGTCCGGTTCTTTCGACCGGTTGAACCGGTTCGACTGGTTGAACCAGTGAACCGGTAACATAGCCGGTTCTCTAACCGGTCCGGTTCTGAAAACCATGCATGTAACACCCAAATTTAGGGGTTAAATTTTAATTTTTCAAAATTTATAGAAAATTTTAGAAAATTTCAGGTATTTTGGGGACTCATCCTGGAGTTGTACCATTAAATAAAATCAGATTATTCCCAATTGGAAGGAGGAATCCCTAAAAACTCTCCCCCGATCGAAACCTCGTCGGCCTCTCCAAGCATCGCCGTCCGGCCACCGTTCGGCCCACTGCTACCCCCATTTGACTCTTCGTTGACGGGAGACCAAAACCCCCATGGTCTCTCGCCGTGAAACGCTTCCGTCCGCCACGAATCGACGTTAAAATCATCGTTGAGATATGTCGTAGCTTCCGATACATACACTAAGGTTGCTAAGAGATACATTGATCATTCGTTTGTTTTGAAGTTGTTTGATTTGTTTGATTCAGAGGATCACAGGGAAAGGGAGTTTTTGAAAACCATTCTTCATAGGATTTATGGTAAACTCATGGTCCATCGACCTTTTATTAGGAAAGCCATAAATAATATTTTCTATAGGATTATATACGAAACATAGAGGCATAGCTGGATTGGGGAGCTTTTGGAGATTCTTGGAAGTATTATTCGCTTTGCCCATGAAAGAGGAACATAAGTTGTTTCTAGTGAGAGCATTGATTCCTTTGCATAAACCGAAACCAATAGCAGTGTATCACCAGCAGTTGTCTTATTGTATAATTCAGTTCGTTGAGAAGGATTCTAAGTTGTCTGATACTGTTATTAGAGGATTGTTGAAGTATTGTCCTTTGACTAATTGTCAAAAGGAAGTTCTTTTCCTTGCAGAACTAGAAGTACTTGAAGCAACTCAGCTTGCTGAGTTCCAACGATGTATGGTTCCTCTTTTCAGCCAGATTGCCCTTTGCCTCAATAGCTCTCATTTTCAGGTAATACATAAGGGCGTTTCTCTTTTCAATATGTCATTTTGGGTTTGTAAAATTCTGATTGTTTGCGTTGCCATTCATCTTTAGGAACCATTAGTATTCAGAATTGTAGAGTGATGATTTGTTACTAAAATTGGATTAACTATGATTTTGATATCCAATTGTTGTCAGGTTTTGATACTTTTCTCCTATAACTTTTTGGTATTTCTTATGAAAATTGTGATGGCTGTTGCGTTGTTTTGAAATATGTTACTCCATTTGATTATTAGTATCGGATAAGGATATCTTCGATTTTTCTAAGTTTCCCCCCCCCCCATCTATTGGGAGAGGTTTTCAAGGGTTATATATACTTGTTTCCAAATGTGTTGACATGTATTTAAACAGAAATTAGGAGGCAGAGCAATATATGATTTGAACCTTGTACATTTCACATTCCGGTATTTTCTCTCTTTCTGTCCAGCATCCAATTCAGTAAGCTATTAGTTTCAGTTTTCTCCCATGTTGTAGCTTATATGTGTTTGCTTGAATGAGATCCTTTGGCAGGGTTTCTGTTGGCCAAGATTCGTCCGACAAAGGGGAAATTTCAATTGCTTTTGCTTTATGTATTGTCTTGCATCTTTGAGTTTCTACTGTTGTCCTCATGATCAGTTAACTTTAAGAGTTATGAACAGTTGTATGTTGGCCCAAACTTTAAATTGTGGTTGCTTTGGAAGTTTTTTTTTTGTTACCGTTTACTTGCATTCAATTTAGTTTCTTGCATAGATGGTAATCTTTGACATAATTTATCCAAAATTTGAACAACAATTTCTTCTTTAATGATGTTAGTTTGAAGTTCATTTGCAACCCTTGTTGCCTGTAGATTCTATACATTGTAGTATCATCACGAGTCCCTTAATCATAATCTTCAGTCTGGTGATTCTACCTTTACTGTTTTTTTCTCCTACATCCCTTTTACCTTTTTTTGCTTTAGCATTTTGTGGCTTTTCCCCTTAAATACCATATGGTTGAATAATTATTAAGCTGTTGCTGTGGAGCTAAGATTCACCCCCAATGGGTTACCCGTTGCAAAGGAGTATATAGTGGAACATTTATTTTTTTGGTTTTTTTACTTTTGTTAGTAAGGTTTCTACCGTGTTCGTCCCAATTTAGAATTGTTTAGATGGAATGGGTTGCTACACAATTGTTGACTTCTTTAATACTTTTTTTCTTCCGAATTCTCAATAAGACCAATTTGTATTGCAGGTCGCAGAAAGAGCCCTCTTCTGGTGGAATAATGAGCACATTGTGAGCTTAATTGCCCAAAACCGGCAGGTGATATTACCGATTATCTTCAAGGCATTGGAGTAGAATATCCAAAATCATTGGAATCAGGCTATTCATGGGTTGACTGTGAATGTGCAAAAGGTGTTCATGGCAATGGATGCCGAGTTGTTCGAGGAGAGTGAGAGACAATTTGAAGAGAAAAAGGCCAGAGCCCAAGAGGTGGAAGAGCAACGAGAAATGACTTGGAAAAAAATGGTGGATGCGGCAGCGCAGAGAGGGAAAGATGATATGGTTACAGCCTAATGGATGAATCAGAGTTGATCCGTCAATGATTGGGTGCTGGGATGATGGCTGTGCTGCTGTTCCCTTCTCCGTTATGGTGGTATTCTCTTTTCAATTTTACTTTGGGGCTGAAAATGATCATTGAAGATACCTGAGAAAGAGCGGCGATCAATGTAATGTAAACTGTATTGAATTGGCTAGTAAAACATGTTGCAGATAAGAATGATATGCGAGGAACGACTTGTATTTTTTTCTCAAGCTATTTGTTCTTCCAACACGAAAATTATCAGATTTTTTATTTTTATTTGACAGTACTAGTTGTAATTTTAGTCAAAGCTTGGATCAAATTATTCTGCAATTGGATCTTAAGCTTCCAGCCCCAGAAGATGGTCATCTCAGGGAATCTAACTTTCCATTTTCTTCATGGCGGCATTTCATTTGGTTGATTGTAAGAAGAGATAGATAAAGGGGTATACGGGACAAAATTTCCTCGAAAATTTCAAATCATCATATATTTTAGATTTTTTTATTTTTTATTAATGATATATTTTTGTTCCTCTAAAATTTTAAAATTGTATCTCATAATATAAAATTTTATGTCTATCTTTAATCGCAAGTCAAGCTTCTCATGGTTATGGTTGGATCAAATCAAGATTTTTTTTTCTAGATGATTCAACCATTGTAACACAAGAATGATATGAAAAATAGAAAAGGAGCTCCCATTGGAAAGAAGAAAAGTTGCACTGATATTTAGTCTCCTTTATTAATTGATTTCATTTTAACTAATTTAAAGGAACAACCTTTCAAACTCACTTGCACTTGAAACTCTACAACTCGAGTTAATTCCCGCAATCAACCATTGGAAAGAAGAAATATAGTAAGATTTCTCTGCAATTTAAGAGCAACATCCACGGCCTTGATGAGCCTTACACTCTGGTTTCTGCTTCAAGATGTTTCTCTTCCCTACAGCAGAACCTTCTTCCAAAAAACTCGGAACTTCCATTATCTGTAAGAAAATCCACAGCTATTAGGAATCTGCAAATGGAGAACTCATACACACTAATGTGGTCCGACCTGATTGTCTGCATCCACGGATGGAAAACACAGAGATCACAAATGCTTTTGAATATTCATGTCGGAAACAACCATTCTCAATGATCCACTCTTACATATAACCCTACTGCAGGTTACTCATCATTTTAACTAACCCACCAGCCAATAATATCGAGTATATTGATTTATATTATTGAAAAGGTTGAAGCGCAAACTTGCTGTCAGGAAAACTTTACCTTCAATGCAAGCTCCTTAAAGCATTTCTCCACGTTTTCTCTTGTTTTAGCACTGCATTCAAGAAACATGCATCCGAGCTCTTTTGCGAGCGCGGTTCCTTCATCCCTACTTACTTCCCTTTCAGAATCCTGAAATGTAAACAAATCGAATGTAATGAAGCATATGAATCAAAAGAAAATGGCTCAAAAAGGAGTCGTCAAACAAGAAAACAGGACTTGCAACATCAACAGATCGGTAATATAAGAAGGCTGCTATCCCCAAGAAATCAATGCTTTGAAGTTTGAGATGACACGAAACGAAGAAACCTTCGAGGCATTTATGGGTCCTATGATCTTTATTAACAAACTTTGTTCCATAAGGTTTCTTCATCATGAATAGAGCAGATGAGTTCTTTCCAAGATTATGAAATTGTCAAGAAAAAACTTACTCTATCAACTTTATTTCCAACAAGCATCTTGACGCACTCCTGATTCGTAGAATAAAGCTCCAGTTCTTTGGCCCAAACGTCAGAAAGATTCGTGAAGGTTTCTCTCCTAGTTACATCATACACTACAGCCAAAGCCAAGAAATAAGTCACCATTGCAGTAATTTAAGTACCAGTCCAAGAGGAAAGTTCGATCGATATTCAACATCATGCATGCTAATATTCATGAAAGTGTCTGCTATAGGGACCTAGGATTCAGTTCAATCAAGATTGTTATCAGATGCATGAAAGCTTATGATACAATTTTGCAGAGAATCGGATGTCAACATTCGTAAACTGAAACCGTTGATGGGCTGCATCGAATCAAAATATAGAAAGTAGTGTATCTCATACATGCATCAAAAGATAAACTTACCAAGTATGATCCCTTGGGCACCTCTATAGTAAGAGCTTGTCAATGTTCTGAACCTTTCCTGTCCAGCTACATGAAGCATTATGGTTCCACAAAATCAATCATATGATTTCTCCATGTTCCAAGACAATTATTTTGATAAATAGAGAACTAATCAAAGGTTAAAATGGAACAACATCACATTTGAGAAGTATCAGCATACCACTAACAGAAAAATGAAAAGCAAGAAACAATTTAATGGATAAAAGGTCAAAATCCAAGCAGAAAACACTTAAGATTGACTTCAGGCTACAAATTTTGAAACTCAAAGACTAATAAGAAATATAAAATGGAATTGATATGAGGTTGATACCAGTATCCCATATAGTAAGCTTCAACCTCTTCCCACCAACTGTTATCAACTTGATCTTAAAATCCACACCTAAAACATGGATTCAAACAAAGGCCCAAATCAAATTTTACCATAAAATTATCTAAGATCCAACAATGAAAGAGTAAAAACGAAGAGAGAATGAACCAATGGTGGGAGCTAGATCTTCTGCAGAAGCTGAAATTAAGCTAACTAGCAAACTACTCTTGCCAACACCCGAATCTCCGATCAATAAGATCTTGAATGAAAGATCATAGCTTCCATTGCTTTGCCCTGAAGATGATCCCATCTCGATTTTTCTATGGTAGAATGAAAATCCAAAGTTTTATAAAAATCACTGCTTTTTTAATCTCTTTACAAAATCTCTATTGTATCCAATGATGATGACACTTATTAAAGAAATAAACTTGGGTGGTGAACGAATGGCCTTTTACTCTCAAAAGCACAGTGGAACTTGTTTTAATGGAGATGACGAAAGTAAGGAAATTTCGTTCAAGAGAAAGACCAATGAGAAGATTGAGAAACAATGTGTTTGTACGAGAAGAAACTAGAGGAGCACGGCCTAGCTGGGAACTCCCCACACTAACGTTGTTTTGGTTTTGTTTTGTGTTGTCTTTTTCATAGATTTTACTGACGTGGCACGTGAGATCTACGGACCGTGTTTTCGACGCTCCAACTTGTCGACTTTCATTTGTATCAGAAAATTTATTGAAATTTTGAATTTAAATATCATTTATGTAAAAGTACGAGTAGGCAATGAACTGAACGTTCAGCGAATCGTGCAGCGGAAAGTTCAGCGAATCGTGCAGCAGAAAGTTTGTTTATGTTCGTTTATTTATTAAATGAACGAACATGAACAAGATTTTGCGTTCGTTTAATTAAATAAACGAACACGAACAAAGGGCTTGTTCATTCATTTACGTTCGTGAACGTTCGATTATATATTCGTTTATGTTCGTTCATTTATGTTCATTTATGTCTTTTCATTTATGTTCGTTCATTTATTTTCAGTTATGTTCGTTCATTTATGTTCGAACACAGGGCAAGTTGAATATGTTACGAAGATTATTGAAGTTGTTTAGATTTCAAGAAGATTGTTTTGTTGAACAAAATTACTTTAAGACTTTATTATATTCATATAGCTTATTTATTATTTATGTATGTTTTTGTCATATTCGAACAAATTAACTCTAAAGTTACAGGTTATATTAATGAATTTTAAGTTGTTATTCTTGTTGTTTACTTTTTTTTACATTCATTTGTTGTGTTCGAATAAGTTTGTTTTTGTGTTTTTGTTGTTCGTTTATGTTCGTTCGTTTGTATTCGTTTACGTTCGTTTATGTTCGTTTGCATTCGTTTATGTTCGTTTGCGTTCGTTTATGTTCGTTTATCATTTAAATGAACGAACATGAACAAACTATATTCCTTAATGAACAAACATGAACAAAAAAAATTTGTTCGTTTATGTTCGTGTTCGTTTATTTATTAAATGAACGAATATGAGCATACCTCCGTTTGTGTGCGTTCAGTTCGTTTACAGGCCTAAGTATGAGTTTTATCGTTAATGGTAATATTTATTTCATATTTTAAAAAATTAAAAACTAATCTTAAAAAGTAACGATTTAAATAAAATTAACAAAAAAATATATAAAAATTAAAATTTAATTTAATTAATTTAAAATTATAAAAAATATTGTATTTATAAAATGTAATAAGTAAAATTATACTATTCAAAAAAAGAAGTAAAATTATACTATTAAAAAAAAGAAGTAAAATTATAAAAGCGTTCTCATCTTTTCACACTTTTAAAAATCTTTTCTGCACAAGTCTTTTATCATTTTAACTATAATCATTTGATAAAGGCCACTAATTTGGGAGGAGGTGTCTATTTCGTATATCAATTTTAAATTAAAAAATATTTAAGTACTAACTTGAAAAAAAAATATGACTAGTTCGCGTTTCAAATATATATTTAAGTTTTATATATTTTTAAAAATTAGTTTCAATCAGAGTTAACTACACAGATATCTCCAAAATATGATTTTTGTTTGAAAATGATCCCTAAATTTTTTAACGTTTTAATTCCATCCTCACACTATCTCTATGCGCTAATTATATCCTATGTAAATAAAAATGTTATAAAAATATTAATTATCATGTAAAAGCTGATGTATATTATGTAACAATATAATATGGCATAAATGATAATTAATTTTAGCTATAAATAAAATAATGATATAATTTTTAAACGTAGAAAATTATCAAATTGAAAGAACAAAAATAAAAATCGAAGAATTTTTCAATTTCATTATAAATAATGATTTCATAGGACCTGATACTACATTAATTATCGTTTATGTCAAATTATATTATTACATTATGCACACTGGTTAATAATTTTTTAATGGTTTTATTAACGAAGATGTGATTAGAATATATCGATAGTTTAGGGATGAAATTGGATCATTCAAAGGTTTGGGGCTTAATTTAGAATGAAGTCCTAGTTTGGGATGAAATTACAATGTTCGAAAGACTGGGGACTAATTTATAATGATGGCCATACTTGGGTATGAAATTGGAACATTAAAAAATGTAGGTGTCAATTTATAATTATAATAATATTTTAGGGACATATGATGCAATTAACTCTTTAAATAATAATTTTTTGATTTTAGTTAAGGTATTGGGTATACAAAGGGTCTCCGACTACGCTGCTTTATTGAGTTCTCTGACTATTAAAAGTTAAAAAATGATCTCTCGATTATAGGATGTTATTTTGTTGAGTCTATCGACTATTAAAAATTAAAAAAATCACTCGACTATTTATATGTTTCAATCCTGTCATTTTTCATTAAAAATTTGATAGCCGTTTGAACTAGACGTTAAATTATTAATTGAGATATGATAAAATCATATTTTAATGATGTTTACTGACGACAAAATTTTTCAAGCACTAGGTCGACGACATAATATAAATGGAAAGTCAATCCACAATTACAACTCAAACGATTCTGTGATAAGATTTTATTATATTCTAGTCAACAAGTTAACGTCCAGCCAGGGCCGGCTCTGGGCAGGGGCAAGAGGGCACCCGCCCAGGGCCCATAATTTTAATTTATATTAATTTATTATACTTTAATAAATTAAATTAAAAATAGGGCCCATAAATATTAATATATTATTTTCTACATTAATGCAAGAGGTCCCATAAATATTAGTGTTCAGTTTAAAAATTTTAAACGTTTTCTCATCATAACGTTAATGCAAGAGGATCCATAACGGTTACCATAAATATTAATATATTATTTTCTACATTAATGCAAGAGGGCCCATAAATATTAGTGTACATTAATGCTAGTTGAGTTTAAAATTTGTAAACGTTTAAATTGGATGTTCTCATCATAATAACGTTAATGCAAGAGTCAAGAGGGCCCATAACGGTTACTTTTTTTATTTCTTATAAATGATAGGAGAACAATGAAGTAAAATTAATTTATTTCTTATTGTTCTCAATTTTCAATTTCTCATATTTCTCACAATTCACAAACACAATTCCTTATCATAAATTGTGGTCATTGAAGATATTTTTAAAATCCTAAGTAAGTTCGTGTTTTCAATTTTTTTTCCTTTTTTATAATTCTAAATTATAGATAAACTTATTCTCTTTTTTTGTTTCATAAATTTTGGATATGAATGTCAAACGTGGATATGCAGATACTTCATCTTCCTTCTAAGTTCAATCATTACGGTGTTGTGAATTTGGCGTATAAATATTTCGATCGAGGATCTTCCCATTTACAGGTGTTATTGTTCTTTTCTACATTAGTTGCATTGTTATATAATGTTGCCTAAAAAACATTTGTCTAGTAGTGAAAAAAGAAAAAAAAAACACATAGACGATTTAATAGAATCACAAAAGGGAGCTCTTAATAAATTCTTTAAAAGTGGAGTAGGAGAGCCTTCTAATAAAAATTTAAATGATATTGTTGGGAATTTAAATAATCTTGATAGTTCTTCAAATTGTATCAATCTAGGTGTTACTGATGCAAATTATCATGATATCCTAAATCATATAGATGGTGACATTTCTAATTTAAATGTCCATAATCATGCACAAAATGAGTCTAATGTTGAAGATGTTGGGATTTATCAACACTTAGTCCCTACTGTGGACATTTATGATCCTAGAAATTGGGGTAATATTGATAATAAATCTAGAGATATTTTAGTTGAAAAGGGGCCTATAAGAGAATTGAATTTGAAATTTTCCTTAGCCAATAATTATAGGCATTTTGCATATGCTTATTTTTCTAAAAAGTTGAGTAATAGAGAGATTAACGATAGAAAATGGTTGGTATATTCTAAACATGTGGACAAAGTTTATTGTTTTTGTTGTAAATTGTTTACAAAGCAAAACAATAAGAGTTATTTAGCAAATGATGGATTAAATTATTGGAAGCATCATAGTGAGAGACTCGAACAACATGAAAATAGTATTGAGCATATGGCTAACATGAATATTTGGAGTGAATTAAGAGTGAGATTAAAAACTAATCAAACACTTGATAAAGATTTACAACAAGGAATTTCAAAAGAGAAAGAACGTTGGAGGCAAGTTTTAATAAGAATAGTTTGTGTTGTAAAATGTCTTGCTAAAAATAATTTAGCTTTTCAAGGATCTAGTGAGAAAATTTACGATGAGAATAATGGAAACTTTTTAGCATTAATTGAAATGATTGTTGAATTTGATTTGCCTATGCAAGACCATATTAGACGTATTCAAAATGAAAATATTCATTATCATTATCTTGGTCATATCATTCAAAATGAACTAATCTCTCTCTTGGCCCATAGTATTAGAACTTCTATTTTAAAGATCATCCAGAAGGCAAAGTATTTATCTGTTATTCTTGACTGTACCCCTGATGGAAGTCATCAAGAACAAATGACTCTAATAGTGCGATGCATAAATATGTCAAACAACAAAGTAAAAATAGAAGAGTACTTTTTAGAGTTCTTGAAAGTGGATGATACATCTGGATTGGGGCTTTTCAATGAATTAGTAAATACATTGCAATCTCTAAAGTGGAACATTGATGATGTGAGGGGCCAACGATATGACAATGGTTCTAATATGAAAGGAAAACACCAAGGTGTTCCAAAGAGATTACTTGAAATAAATCCTAGAGCTTTATATATGCCATGCGCTTGTCATAATCTTAATCTTTCTCTTTTTGATATGGCACATTCTTGTGTTAAAGCTATTTCTTTTTTTGGGATTGTGCAACTTATATATTCATTGTTCGCAAGTTCTACCAAAAGGTGAAAAATTTTATGTGATAATGTTCTGGAAACTGTGAAATCTTTATCTGATACTCGTTGGGAAAGTCGAATTAAAAGTGTCAAAGCTATTAAATGTCATGCTCCTAAAATAAGGTTAGCTTTGTTACAATTATATGAATATTGTGGTAATGATGCAAAAGCAAAAAGTGAAGCAGAAAGTTTAGCTAGTGCCCTTCAAAGTTTTGAATTCTTACTTGGAATGGTTATCTGGTATGATATTTTATTTGCTATCAACACGGTAAGTAAGAAATTACAATCTAAATCAATGTGCATTAATACTGCCATAAAGGAGTTGGAAGGTGTAATGTCATATTTTGAAAACTATAGAAATAAGGGGTTCGAAGATAGTACATATATTGCTAAAAGTCTTGCATTAGATATGAACATAGAGCCAATTTTTCCTAATAAGCATCGTATTTTTAGAAAAAGACAATTTGAGACCATGATGAAGAAATGCAATCAGCAAAGGAGTCTTTTAAAGTTAATTATTTTGTTGTTGTTGTTGATATGGCGCTCGCTTCTTTGAAAGATAGATTTGAGCATTTAAAGATTTTTGAAAATTATTTTCGATTTTTAATTGATTCTACAAGATTGAAGTCATTGGATGACAATAAATTAAAAGAATGTTGCAATAATTTTAAGATTATTTTTCTCATAATAATTTGTCTGATGTTGATGCAGATGATTTTTTTCTGAAATGAAAGTTTTACAATTGACTTTGCCAAATGTATTCATGTCAGCGCTTGAAGTTCTTGAGTTTGTTAAAGATAGAGATTGTTATCCTAATGTTTCAATTGCTTATCGAATCTTATTAACACTGCCGGTAACGGTAGCATCCTCGGAAAGAAGTTTTTCAAAGATGGAATTATTGAAGAAATACTTGAGGTCAACAATATCACAAGAAAGATTGAATGGGCTAGCTATATTATATATTGAGAAAAATATGTTGGAAAACATTGATGTTGACACTATCATCAATGATTATGCATCAAGAAATGCTCGAAGGCAATATTTTTTATAAGTATTTATATGCTTAAATATGTTTTTGACATTTTTGATATTGTAATGAATTAATATTTATTTAATTTAATAAAAATTAATTAAAATTTTATATTGCATATTTTTTAATATTCTTTTAAATTAGGGCCTATTTTTTAATTTTGCCCTGAACCAAGAAAAAGTCACAACCGGCCCTGCGTCCTGCTCAGACAACCGTTAAATTTTTAACAAAAAAATGATGAGTTTGAAACATATAAATAATTGAGTGATCATTTTGTAACTTTTACTAGTTGAGTGATTCAACAGCATAACACCCTATAATAAAATATTATCTTATAATTTTTAATGATCGGAAGACAATAAAGTAACATTCTATATAGTCCGGGACTACTTAATTATTTAATTTGGACTTTAGTCCAGTTCAGTTACCTTCATAACTTAATTTCCCTCACAGCGTCACTGACTCACTGTTAAGCAAACTTAAAACACCGCTTAACTATTAAGCTAAACCGCTAAAACCTAACTCGGTCTCAGTTTAGCACTATGTAATCCCCGCTCCATTCTCACCGTTAATAAAACAAATATCGATTGAAGAAAATTTGAAACCAAACGGCGATGGAACCGGGCACGTCAACAAGATCGGGAAACATAGGCGAATTGGCAGTCGACGTTGGAAACTTAACAATCGACGAGAACAAAATGATCATCAATGAACCTGAAGAATCCAATCTCAAAGCCGTATAAATACCTTAATCTAAAATATTTATAGTTTTTTTGTAGGTTTAATTATATACCTGTCCGTGTACTCTTCTGAATGTTGAAATTTAATCTTTCGGCATTGGTTTTTGAGAATTTAATCTTTTTTATTTGAAAAATCAATAAATGTCAACTATGTTGTTATCTATTGAACTTTGAGTTTTAAATCAAAGGTATCCGGGATTAGAAGTCTTAAATTAGAAGCACAATAAATGAATTTCGAAAATTTGATGTAGAAACTGAAAGCACATTTAAGCATTTTCCTTTTTAGTTTGACTGCGATACAGGGTTTTGATTTGGATTTTCTGTTTGGATTTTTTAAGTTATATCAGGGGATACACCGTACACATCGGCATTTACGTTTGAGGAATTGAATTTGTCACCAAAACTATTGAAGGGAGTATAAGTTGAGATGAAATTTGGAAAGCCTAGTAAAATTCAAGCTATTAGTTTGTCTATGATTTTGAATCCCCCTTACAAGGATTTGATTGCTCAAGCTCATAACGGTTCTGGGAAAACCACTTGCTTTACGCTTGGAATGCTGTCCCGTGTTGATCCCAAGTTAAAAGCTCCTCAAGCATTGTGTATTTGCCCCACTAGAGAATTGGCTATACAGGTTTTAGTCTTAGGAATTCTGAATTTTCGTTTTCTAATGAAATTTGGTTTTTGATGATGGATTTTGGATCCATTTTTGCAGAATTTGGAGGTGCTTAGGAAGATGGGGAAGTATACTGTGATCACTTTAGAATGTGCTGTTCCAACTGATCATATCCCCATGCATCAACGGCCTCCTATTATGGCGCAAGTAGTTTTCGGCACTCTTGGCACTATTAAGAGCTGGATGTTGGCCAAGAAATTGGGTGCGAGTTTTCTGAAGATTCTTGTCTTTGATGAGGCCGATCACATGCTTGCTGAAGTAACCTTTGTTTTAATAGTTTGTTTGCTTGTGTTTTTTATAATTTTATATTCTCTTATCCTCGGTATTAGGGAAAAAATCATCTTTGTTGCAATTTAATATTTTAAGAATGTTGTGTCTTGTGGAAAAAAAATTGGAGCTTTACTTGTCTATGTTTTTAAAGGTTAGATGATTGGTTTTGGAAGGATGAACATTGTTTTAATTATGTTGTGCAATCCTATGATTTAATGGATTGAATAAATGTCATGGTTTGATGAACTGATTGTTTTTTGTTGCTTGCTGGATGGATTTAAAGGTGAATCTTTGTATATAATGGAGAATATAAAAAACATCAGTTCTCACTGCCAGGTTTGTGTTAAGAGTCTTCTCTAAATGTTATTTATACGGTCTAGAATGTGGCGTGTCAGCCTTTTTCTATATGCTATCGTACAATTTCTTTATGTTAAGATTTTTGGATAGATTATTTGATTAATCATTATTATTAAGGATTCCCATGGATTAGAATGGCTAATTAACTTGATGCCAATGAACGGATACTGTGTTTTGTCTACAAACACTAGTTTATATGGGTATTAAAAGTAGGTATCATCACAATTTAGTTGCATTCGTCGTTTTGGAATACAGTGATTGATTGAATGCCTGGATTTGAATCAATGCCTAGGTTCTCCTGTTTTCTGCCACTTTTAATGGCATTGTCAAGAACTTCATATCCATGATAGTGAGTAGTGATCGTAATCAATTATTCGTCAAGAAGAAAGAACTATCATTGGAGTCCGTGAAGCAGTATAAAGTGAATGTCCCAGATGAACTTTCTAAGGTTATGGTGGTCAAGGATAGAATTATTGAATTGGGGAGCATGTAGCGCACACAATTATATTTGTCCGCGCAAGGAATAGTGCATAGGTCCCTTGCCGACCTTGGTTATTATTGTACAACGATTCAAGGTGCTCTCAAACAAGAAGACCGAGATAAGATAGTGAAAGAGTTTAAAGATGGGTTGACTCAAGTCCTCATTTCAACCAATCTTCTTGCCCGTGGTTTTGACCAGCAACAGGTACCATTTCCCTCCATCTTTCTGAGTTGCCTAGCTGCTATACGAAATGCATCATCCTGATATTGTATCTTTCTACAAGTCAATTTGGTGATCAATTATGACCTTCCTGTGAAACATGACAATCGCACGGTGCCTGATTGTGAGGTTTACTTGCATAGAATTGGGAGAGCAAGGCGATTTGGCTGCTAGGGTAAGTTACCAAGTTCTTGAAATGAAAATGTGATTTTCCTTTAAAATGTTTATATGGGAATTGAATCCCTTTACATCCCATCCCTGTGTCTTACTTTTGGTAGACATCACATACATTTATTCAATTCAACAGTTGTTTAACAATATAAATTCTTCTTGTGTTACTTACATGGTGGTGGAAGAGCAAATTATTTATTTCTATCTGATTTACAGGAGCTTTGTTCAACTTATTATGCTGGGATACAGACGAAATGATAATGTCAAAATCGAAAATCATTTGGGCATGAAAGTAGCAGAGGTAAGCCTTCCCATGTCTCTAGTTATTTGTTGTTTTATGCTTTTGATATTTGAAATGTGATGTGGATGCAGGTTCCTGACTGGAGAAGTGAATAGAACTTTAAAGCTGCTCTCAGATCAGCAGGCTTATTGTAAACTAATTTCGTTTACAAGTGTCATGGATTTTTGCAGAAACAAGTCTTGATAACTTGTGCAGTGTTTATTTGATTACTTGCTATGTTTTATGAAGTCAATTTATGAGAATCAAAAGCTTTGTTTTATCACTTGAATATTTGACATATTAGGAAGTAAATATTTTTTTAAAGAAAATTATGTGCAATTATTAGAGTGTCGTCTCTCTTTCCCTTTCTTTCTCACTCGTTTATTACTATAATCTGAGTTTCTCTCGTCACCTTGTATAATCTGAATCTTGTCAATTCCGACCGGCGGCTTGTTGTTTGACATATTCAATTAGTAGTGTAATGTTAATATAAGATGACCCTCCTTCTTCAGCTGCTGTCATGGCCATTTTCGCAAGCTCTTTTGCCCTTTTCCTTCTATCTTCTCCTTCATCCATTAATCTCTCCACTGCATTCACAATATCTTCCTTCTTCACAATGCCCCCCAGATTCCTCCTCTCCCATCTGCACAGCTGTTTCAACGCCCACACCAACACCAATTTTCAGTATCTGTACCACCAGCTTGCCGTTCATGAATTGCTCGGAGAATAAAGGCCACGTTATCATCGGCACACCCGCGCAAATCCCTTCGAGCGTCGAGTTCCACCCGCAGT